TCCAATTCCTCCCCAGGCCACCCCATCCCACCCCAACAATCTCCACCCTTTCCCGCTCGCGTCCCGCATTTCTCCCAAATTATTCCCAGTCCCTCCTCCAGATTCCTCCGTGCGCCCTCCCGGTTCCTCTTCTCCACTCCTTGCCGCTCCTCCTCCTGAGACCCTACTCTTGCCCACTCCATCCCAATCCACTCCACATCCCCGCGCTCCTCTCGACACGGTTGCAGTTCTCGCTATCTTTCCGCCCCACTCTCCCAACATCCCGCTTGTTCAGTGTTCCACGGAATTTGTTTCCAACACCAGTTCGCAGCTGTACGTCCCCCCGTGGGGTATCCACGATATTTTCTTTCAAGGGGGGGTGTGCGTGGCGCTGTTTATGTCGCGACCCATGGCGAAACTTATTGCTAACAACCTGTGCTATAGTGGCTGGCGCAAGCCATGGCGCAAGCTGAATCGCCATTCACAGCGCAAATCGTCGTCCTTCCTCCTTCTCGCCCGTCCCCTTCCTTCCTCCGGTCCCTCTGTCCTCATTTTCCCCCATTATCTGTTACCCTTCGTTTTCCAGGGCTTCACCAATCACCAACCACACGTGGCAGGGAATGAACCTACCCCCAAAAGGGGTACGATCGAAAACGAAGATGGCGGCTATCCAGGGTTTGGGATATGCATATTGAATGACACGCGAGCATATAAGAGCGAGCAGTCTTAACATGATTGTTGTTGTTGTTGTTGTTGTTGTTGTTGGTTTGGTTCATGTTTTGTGATTTGCGATGCTTGTTTCTAGGAACTGAACATACGACGTCCGATTTCTGGGGAGGTAGAACGGGGGTCGTTCTCGAACTGCTTATGGTGTTTCTCTGGAACTCTCTGTGGCCTCTTGGCGTCTACAGAGGCTTCAAAAGGTTTGGGACAGCTGCTGGAAGAGATTTCCACAAGGTGTTCAGCAAAACTCACGGCGTCGGACGTCAGGGTACCTTCGGCACTTCAGGGAGGCATCCTGGCAGGCACCCTCGGGTTACGTATAGAAGAGTCGAGCGTGTCTTCCAATCTTCTGAGCCATCACGCACGCTACCCCCCCCATAACATAACGCCCCCCCTCTCCAGCCCGTGGTGCACCTCGACCCCTGCAATTGAGATGTTCGCAGGCTTGTGTGGTACTTGCCGTCGATGTTGTCGTCGTCGTCGTCCCCGTCCCCGTCCTCGTACTCGTCCTCGTCCGTGTCGTCGTCGTCGTCGTCCCCATCCCCCTCGTCCTCGTGGCGGTTGTCGTCGTCGTCGTTGTCGCAGAGGGCCAGGAAAAGGCCTCCAGACTCCTCCAGAGGTCTTTCGGGACCTCAGGCCTCCGGAGAGCTCAAGAGCCCTTCAGAGGCGGCCGTCGTCGTCGTCGTCTTCGTGTTCGTCGTCGTCGTGGTCGTCGGTGTCGTCGTCGTCGTCGAAGGTTTCGGCCGAGACGACTCCAGAGGCGGCCCTCGTCCTCGTCGTCATCGTCGTCCTCGTGCTTGTCCCCGTCCTCGTCTCGTCCTTGTCCTTATTGTCGTTATTGTCGTCGTCGTCGTCCCCGTCCTTGTCCTCGTCGTCGTCTTCGTGTTCGTCGTCGTTTTCGCCGTCGAGGGCCTCGAAGGGCACAGGCGCCGCCAGAGGCCGCCGTGGTCCTCGTCCTCCTCCTCAACCTCGTCCTCGTCCTCCTCGTCCTTGTCGTCGTTGTCGTCCTCGTTGTCGTCCTCGTCCTCGTCGTCCTCGTCCTCGTCCTCCTCGTCCTTGTCGTCATCGTCGTCCTCGTCCCCGTCCTCGGTCTCGTCCCTGTCGTCGTCCTCGTCCCCGTCCCCGTCCTCGTCGTCGTCGTCGTCGTCGTTCTCGTCGTCGTCCTCGTTGTCGTCGCCGAGGGCCTCGAAGGGCTTCCAGACGCCGCCAGAGGTCTCCAGAAACCTCCATAGTCCTCCAGACTCCTTCACCAGCGTCCGTCGCCGTCGTCGTGGTCGTCGTCGTCGTCCTTGTCGTCGTCGTCCTTGTCCTCGTCATCGTCGTCGTCCTCGCCCTCGTCTCCTCGTCCTCGTCGTCTTCCTCGTCATCGTCGTCGTCGTCGTTCTTGTCCTCATCGGCGTCGTCGTCATCGTCGTCTTTCCCGTCCTCGTCGGCCTCGTCATCGTCGTCTTCGTCGTCGAGGACCTCGAAGGGCCCGGACGCCTCCAGGGGCGGCCCTCGTCCTCGTTCTCGTCTTCGTCGTCATCGTCGTCATCGTGCTCGTCCCCGTCCTCGTCTCGTCCCTGTTGTCGTCGTTGACGTCCTCGTCCTCCTCGTCGTCCTCGTCCTCGTCTCCGTCGCCGAGGTCCTCGAAGGGCCTCCAGACAACTCCTCAGGTCTCCAGGAACCTCCTTAGGTCTCCCGATACTGCCGCCGCCGCGGCCGCGGCCGCCACCGCTGTTGTCGTCGTCGTCGTCGTCGTCGTCGGCGTCGTCGTCGTCGTCGTCGTCGTCCCCGTCCCTGTCCCCGTCCCCGTCCTTGTCCCCGTTTCCGTCCCCGTCCCCGCCCTCGTCGTCGTCGTCGGCGTCGTCGTCGTTGTCGTCGTCGTCGGCGTCATCGTCGTCGTTATCGTCGTCGTCCGGCGCTGGGGCGTCGTCGACGTCCAGCAATCATTAGCACAAAATGGTGCTCGAACGAGGGTGGGGGGGAAAAAACATTGGTGCTGCACGTAAGCACTCCGCAGTACATAGGCGATGTGGTGCACGCGGCTTCGGCGGTACATACTTTGCTGCGCACTGTGGTGCTTGGTGATGTATATAGACGCTGTGGTGTCAGAACCACACGGCGTGGGGGAGTATTATGTTGTGCCCCCCCCGCCGCCCTCTCCATAATATCCGTTATGGCCGCGAATACAGTGGCGCGTGCGCGCGTGTGTGTGTGTGTGTGTGTGTGTGCGTGTGTGTGTGTGTGTGTGTGTGCGCGTGCGTGCGTGCGTGTCTGTGTGTGTGTGTGTTTGTGCGTGTGTGTATTTGTGTGTGCGTGTGTGTTTTTGTGTGCGTGTGTGTGTATGTGTGTTCCCTTTAGTGCCTAGCTTTGCTTAAACGCGTTCCGCCGCCGCTTTGCAGCCGTTTGCTGCCCTCACGGCCGCGGACCAAACAAAGTGTGTGTGTGTGCGTGTGTGTGTGTGTGAATGTGTGTGTGTGTGTGGGCGTGTGTGTGTCTGTCTGTCTGTGTGTGCGTGCGTGCGTGCGTGCGTGCGTGCGTGCGCGTGCGCGCTCGTGCGTGCGCGCGCACGTGCGTGCGGTTGCGTGCGGCTGCGCACGTGCGTGCCTGCGTGCCTGCGTGCCTGCGTGCCTGCGTGCCTGCGTGCCTGCGTGCGTGTGCCTCCGTGTAGTGACGGGGCCCTCCGCGGGCTCGCTCTGACAGGTGCCTTTCGGGCGCTCGCTCGTGTCGGCGCGCGCCGGCCCCCTCCGCGGGCCAGGCCCGGCGGGTGTGTGCACCGCCGCCGCCCGCCGCCGCCCGCCGCGCCGCCCCGCGGGGCCCGATCCCTGGCCGCCCCGGAGGTGCGGAGCCCGGCGATGGTCAGCCTGCTGCTCGGGTACGGCGCCCGCGTGGGTGCGCGCCGGCGGGGGGGCGCGTGTACATGCGAGCGACCTTTCGTCCGATGCTTCTGTGCAATGTCGTTTCGGCTGAAGAGCCCCTGGAGGGCGAAAGCTACCTGACCTTGGCACACAAAACACATCAACATCCGAGCAGGCTTGATAGTCCTTTCGATCGGAGGAGGGAGTCTTAAGGCGGGCCTGTCCCCCCACAGGGGAATTGTCGACGAAAAATAAAAGAGACCCCCAAAATGGTCAAAAGATGCTACAAGCATAGTCTTGGGACGTTTTTTTTTTTTTTGTTGTTTTGTATTTTTTGACCTTTTTGGGGTATTCTGGGGGTATCTTTCATTGTTCGTCGAAAATCCCCCCTGTAGGGGGACAGGCCCGACATCAAGGGAGGCGGCTGCAGCGGAGACCCCATGCCAAGAAAGGCCCCGCTTGCCTCCAAGGGTGCCCCGGGTTCCCTGGGTTTCGAGGGTTTGGCGATGGAGGCCGCAGCGCTCCCGCACCAGAAATCAATGGACGTCCTGGGGTCTCGGTGTTGGGTTTCTCGTGGGCTATCCTCCACTGTACACGAAGGAGTGACGCGGGCCGCTGGGGTCGCCAGATCGCCGAGCGGGATGCGATGGTGGCGACCTGCGCGCATGGATTTGGCCCCCCCCCCCCCCCCCGCGCCCCCCAGAAGGTCGCGCACCAAAGGTTACCCTGGCCTGGGGTCCTTCAGTGTGTGTGCCCGAGGCAGGAAGGGCTGGTTCGCCCCACATGCTGGGGACGACCTGCGTTAGTCTCAAAAACAGGACATGATATTGCAAGTACAACCACCCAATACTGTACAGGATTCGGGCGCTGATAACACCATCACCCGTAATTTTGAATATCAGATATGCTGTCCGCAGTGCTCTCACGTGCCAAATTTCAATTTCGTTGTGTCTCCCGCGCTGCGTTGCGGCGAAACCGCATAATTTTAAGATGCCCTTCCTCCTGGTCAATACACTCCTGCTCCTCTTCTGATCGAAGACGCCTACGGCGAAACACTACCGCCCTCTGCCATTTAGGATACGCCTATGTGGCCAAACGTTTGGGCAAAGCTATTGGACCATGCGCCCCCTGACCAATTATGGAAGCCCTTCAGGGAACACGTTAGGAAGGAAAACGAGAATGAGGAGAGGGATGACCAAGGAGGATGAGGAGTAGGATGATGCGATCTCTTGGGAGCTTTTTGGGTCGTTCTTTGGCCTCCTGGGAGCTTCCTAGGGTCCTCGTGGAAGCCTCATGTCAGGCCTCCTTGGGCCTCTCAGGGGCTCTTGGGGGCATCTTGGGGCCTCTCTGGCCGTCTTACGGCGTTCCTGGCACGTCTGATGCCGTGGGAAGCCATTTTGGGAGCCTCCCTGGACTGTCTTGGGGCCCTCCTGGGGTGTTTCAGGGTCGGCTTGAAGGCCATAATTGGCGTCTTTGAAGTCTCTTTGACCATCTTGAGGCACTTTCGGGGCCGTCTTGGTAGGCTCTTGGGCTGTCCTGGGGCCATCATGGCCGCCTCTTGGGGAAATCTTGGGGATCTCTTGGGCCGTCGGAAGGCCGTTTTGAAGCAAATACCAACATTTGGCCGAAACCTACGGACGATCAAGGACGTTGGCCTTTTCGGGCCTTCCTGGAAGACCTATTGGAAGCCTCTTGGGCCGTCTTAGGGGCCTCTTGGGCGCTTGTTTTGAGTGTTTTTGGGCCATCATGGCGGTCTTACGCGGCCGGGAAAAATGATAACAAAATCAACAAGACGATCATCGTGAATGATCTGCAGACGTCAACGCCCAAAGAGGACCATTAAGCTAGATTCGCTTTTCAATGTTGGCAACGTGCGCAGGCGTGCACCATGGGCCAGATCATTGATATGCCACACTTCGGCTTGCGCGCCCAGTGGCAACATTGGGAGGCGGACGCCACTTAGTTCCCAGGTGCTTTTCGAAATCGCTCCTTCACAGGGCCACTGGCGTGGGCGGTTCCGCATTCTGTCTTGCGGTTTCGCCCCCCACCAATCGGATAGCTAACATGCAACGCGCAATGCAGACGATAAGTTTTTCCTTCACTTTGACAGGCGGATGTCATTTGATGCGACGGGCCCCGCCCAGTCTAATTCTAACATTCTTTCGGCTTCCATCCCTTTGACTTTTTTGTTACAAGTTTTTTTCACGGGGATGGGTAATTCTGCCGAAGTATTGGGTTTCCGCGCGATCCCCTCTCGTCTTTTAGCGTGCCGGCCTGTGCGTCCTGTGGGACGTGTGAGATTTGTGCCCTTGTGGGACTTGTGCGACTTATGGGACCTGCGAGACGTCCGGGGCTTGGGCGACTTGCGGGGTCGGCGGGTTGTGCGGGACCTGTGCGACCTGTGCGACCTGCGAGACTAGTGGGAGCTGTGGGCCTGGAAGACCTGTAGGACCTGTACAAAACGTCAGCCTTGTTAGGTCCTGCGAGAGACCTACGGGCCTCGTCGGGCTTGTGGGACCCGTTGGGCCTGCGCGACCTAGGGCGTTTGCGGGACCTGTGGGACCTGCGAGAGTTGTGGGACTTGCGAGACTTGTAGGGCCCGTGAGACTTGTGCGACCTGTGAGGCCTGCGGGACCTGTGGGACTGACGGGACCAGTGGGACCTGTGAGGCGTTGTCCAACGAACCGCGTTGACGATCCGGCGGTGGGCGGGTTTTATGATGTAAATTCACACACGGGGTGCAGCTTAGTTTACCCGGCAATCCCACTTAACGATCGGGCGGGTGTGGGTTGAGTTTGTCAACTTGTGCACAGAACACACTTCGCGTAAAGTGGCGTGCCCCCGCGTGCCCACTTTACGATTTGATCTTTCCGCGTTTAGTGTGTGTGTAGGAAAAAGACAGGAAACATCCATCGTAAGGTGGTGTATATACATATATATACACGTGTGTGTATATATATGGATGGATATATATATATATATATATATATAATATGTCAAATCAAACCATTCCACTTACGATGGGTGCTTCCCGGTTTTTATACGAAACGCGGAAAACAAACCATATGGTAAAGTGGGCACGCCGGGGTATGCCATTTTACGCGATGTGCGTCCCGTCTGTGATTTTACCGAGAAAACTTGCAACCGCCCGGTCGTTAAATGGGGCCCCTGGGCAAGAGGAAGTGCGTCCCGTACATGAGTTTTCACTGAACGTGAACTCGCCCGCGTCCAGTCGTTAAGCAGGTTCGCGCGATATCGAACATTTGCCGCCACGAACGGATTTTCGCAGTGAGCCCGCTCCCGCACGGGCGGGCCCTGGGCCCCCCTTAGGACCAGAACGCAGCCGTTGTTGCCAGGAACGGCGGGCGACGACGACGACGAAGCTCCCGTCCGTACTTCCGTCGGTGCCCGTTGCTGAGTTGTTCGGTGTCTTGGTGGCCCCCAGATGCCCGGATGCATGGGATCCAGATAAAGTGCTCACGGACCGCAAGCCTCTCGTCGACGCGTGGCGCCAAGGGTTGCGTGCTGGCGCGGTTGCCAGCGACCCCGTGGCCATACTGTGGGCGGAGGTGTGGAGGCTCGCGTCGGATCGGGGGGTGGATTCGGTGGAGGCTACTCACGTGAAGTCACGCACCCCAGCCTCGGCCGTGGCCGATGGCCATATCACGTCGTCGCAGCGCTTCCGATATTCCAACGCTGATTTGTCAGCCAATATGGGTGCGCAGTTTCATCTTGACAGTGAGCCTCTTAGGAGGGCGCACATAGATCCCGCAGTGCGATCGAGATGGTTTCCCAATGTTGCACGCGCGTCGCTGGCCGCATCGGCTCTGTCACGGCGCTCGATGTCCAGCCACAGGCTCCCGGCAAGGTCACTGGATCCACTGAGGGCGGCATGGGCCCGCCACGTGCGCACCCGCTGCGTGACCCATCGATCACGCTGTTGTTGCGGCGTTTTCCTTGCATGGTGTGTCTCAGGTCGGCCAAGTCCCGATCGGTGCTCCGCCCGCTCCAGTGCTGGCAGGGTGTGAGTCAGCACTCGCTCCACAGAGCTGGTCCTGTCCTGGTATGTGCGTTGTGCGGGTCGTACGGTGAGAGGCATAGCGTCGGCCTTTCTGCTGATTGCCGTTCCGTGATGCGTCGTGCAGGCACAAGCGTCAAGGACACCAGGTTCTATCGCTTTCAAAAACTTCTGGAACAAAAAAGGCAGGCGCCCCAAGGCAGGCCTATGTTTAGGCCCTCCAGTTTTGCTGCGTGCTCGGAGGTTCTGCGGGACGGCTAGTTTGCCACCGCTTCCGCCTGTCCATTGGACCTGTGGGGCGGGGAGTGGGTTGGAGGTGGGGGCGAGGTGGACGGGGCAGGAGCTGGTCTCATACCCCTGACACCCAGGCTGCTATGGCCTTTTGGGAGACACTCGCGGGTCTCCCAGATGCCAGCGAGTCGGACGACGACGATCCTGTTCGCGAAGCGAGGCATTGGGTCGAGAAGCGTCTTCATCGCCGCATGTGTTTTTCGAACTCTGGTCAATACGCTTGCGGCTCAGCTTTGTCAGGTCAAACATCGGTGCTTGCATGGCGCCGCTGTCCACCCCGGTGCCGTCCATCCGATCCGATCTCGCCGATTTCCCGGCTCGATGCCGAATGATGCGGGGCGGGGAGGGACGCGCGCGGCGCTGCATGTCAGAAGCAGCGAAGTGTGCACGCACGCCGGTCCCAGCTATGCACCTTGGACCCGGGGGGGGTAATTCGGCATCGGGTCTGGGAATCGGTTCGGATCGGGAGGTGCGTCGGACCGGGCTGCATCGGCACGGAGTCGAGATCGGATCGGATGGGCGGCACCTGGGTGGACAGCGGCGCCGTGCGAGCATCTCACAGGGTCTCCAGTGCACAGCTCTCCTTCCTCTGCCGTGCTCCTCCCGGCCCCGGCCGGCCGCCAGACATCGAGCTGCGCAGGGGGGCGACGCCGATGCACACGGCCTGCCAGGCGGCCAGTCGACGACGACGTCGTCGTCGTGGTCGCCGTCGTCGTCGTCGTCGTCGTCGTCGTCGTCGTCGTCGTCGTCGTCGTCCGTCGTCCGTCGTCCTTCGTCCGTCGTTCGTCATCCTCGTTCGGGCCAAAGAAGAAAACATGATCCAAGCTCGGAGGAAAACGGCTTTGGCCAGCCCCGTCGACTTCTTCAGCCCTGGCCGAACTTCTCTCCAGCATTCCGTTCTGGGCCACCTTGCCGCAGTTGCCCAGGCTATTGTTGGCCCCAAACAGGGGTTGTTGCCTGTGCAGACCTAGCCGCCAGCTATCTGATGCATATGAAAGCTTCAGCCTCTTCCTCCTTGCCTGCGCGTCGCGGGATGTAGCATGAGTGTGGCACGGTCAGAGGTCGTCACTCGAAACCCTCCCCATGGCATCCCGCGACAGCATCATGCCACCACGCAGCAGTTCGGGGCGCACGCGTGTTTCTCTACAGCCGGATGCCGTGGAGATGCTTTCTCAGGCGGAGGAGCACGTGACGGGCGACACCTGGGGGTGCTCGGATCCTCACGATCGGCCCAGCACACACGTGGGCCTCTCGGAGGTCCGCGTGGAGTTGTTGCATGGCGTGGCCCGCCTCGCTGCCCCCGCGCGCTGGGGAGGGGCGGAGGAGCACGCGACAGGCGACACTGGGGGGTGCTCGGATCCTCCCGATCGGCCGCCAGGGGCCCGGCCCACGCGTGGGCTTCTCGGAGGTCCGCGTGGAGTTTGTTGCACGGCGTCGCCCTCCCCGCGCCCCCCGCGCGCCGGGGAGCGGGCGGCCCCGCGACGACCCAGGAGTCCGCGCGGCCCTCCGGCAGTGCATGTCTGTGCAGCTGTTTTTGGCATCGCTCGGACGTGTGCATTTTTCCTTCGGCGAGGGCCGTCGAGGAGCATCCTTGATCATTTAGCGAAAAAATCACGCACGAAACCGAACAAAAAACATAGGGAATGGACGTCCGAGCGATGGCCAGTTCTCCTCCCGTGACCTGACAGAATCTGGAAGATCGGAGAGGGCACGGCAAGAACGGCGTCTGCCCACGTGGAGCAACGCCAAGGCGCTCCTTGCTTGTCTCCAGGGCGCCCTGGGCTCCGTGGCTTTCGACGGTCGTGCTGCGGGAGGCGTGACGGGTCCCACGCCAAGCATCCATGGACGTCCTCGGGTCTCAAGTTTGAGTTTCTCGTGGAAGGTTTCTTGCGGTCCAGCTCCTACTTGCATCAGAGCGTGAATTACCTACCCCGCTTTCGCTTCCAGGCAAAACCAAATCATACCACGCTCCTCCTCACCAAGCGGCCTGACCAGTACAGGCCGTAGTTTGGCATCGTTTGGTATCTCTTGGAAGCGAGGGTGGTCAAAAGCGAGGTAGGTTTGTTCTCCCCCTATTGTACCCGCCTCGAGCGCGCCAGACCGCGAGGCGGGCTCGGCGGAGATCATCGGCATGCTGCTGGACCACGGGGCCCGCCCCGCCGCGCCGCTCCCGTGGGGGGAGAGCGCTGGGCAGAGGAGGAAGAGATGGCGCCACCTCTGCCCTCCTTCTTCCTCTCCTCTCCTCCTCCTCCTCCTCCTCCTCCTCCTTCTCCTCCTCCTCCTCCTCCTCCTCCTCCTCCTCCCTCCTCCCTCCTCCCTCCTCCTCCCTCCTCCCTCCTCCTACCTCCTCCTCTCCCTCCTCCTCCCTCTGCCTCCTCCTCCTCCTGCCGCTCCTCCTCCTCCTCCTCCTCCTCTTTCCATATTCCTCCCTCCGCCTCCCTCCTTCTCTCCTCCTCCTTTTTTTTTTTTTTTTTTTTGTTTTTTTTTGTTGTTTTATTTTTTTTTTTTGTTTTTTTTTTGTTTGTTTTTTTTTTTTTTTTTTTTTTTTTTTTTTGGTTTTTTTTGTTTTTTTTGGTTTTGGGGGGGGGTTTTTTTTTTTTTTTTTTTTTTTTGTTGGTGTTTTTTTGTTGTGTTGGCTGTCTTTTTTTTTGTTGGTTTTTTTTCCTCGTCGCCGCGGCTTCATTCGCCTCGAATCCTGGTCAGAGCGCGCCACGAGAGGCCCGTGTAAGCGCGGTGTGGGTTCTTTTTCCCCACATCCTGAGTGGGGTTCTTGTTTTCCCAGAACACCCTCTCCTTCCCACCCACCTCCCGCTCCATCTTCCATACAGCACAATATTATTCCTACCACACACCATACCATACCATAGTTCCTACCACACATACCATACCATCCACACCAACCCCTACGTACGATACCGTACAACCAGACCATGGCGTGCCCTCCCACCCCTCCCAGGGAGGCCCCGCTGAGCGAGGAGGGGTTATCGAATACCATCTATTTACATGGTTTCGTGCCCCTCCCACCCCTCCAGGGAGGCCCCGCCTGAGCGATCGAGGGTATCGGAATACCATACTATTAACATGGTTTCGTGCCCCTCCCACCCCTCCAGGGAGGCCCCGCCTGAGCGAGGAGGGTATCGGAATACCATACTATTTACATGGTTTCGTGCCCCTCCCACCCTCCAGGGAGGCCCCGCCTGAGCGAGGAGGGTATCGGAATACCATACTATTTACATGGTTTCGTGCCCCTCCCACCCCTCCAGGGAGGCCCCGCCTGAGCGAGGAGGGTATCCGCAAACCATACTATTTACATGGTTTCGTGCCCCTCCCACCCCTCCAGGGAGGCCCCGCCTGAGCGAGGAGGGTATCGGAATAACATACTATTTACATTGTTTCGTGCCCCTCCCACCCCTCCAGGGAGGCCCCGCCTGAGCGAGGAGGGTATCGGAATACCATACTATTTACATGGTTTCGTGCCCCTCCCACCCCTCCAGGGAGGCCCCGCCTGAGCGAGGAGGGTATCGGAATACCATACTATTTACATGGTTTCGTGCCCCTCCCACCCCTCCAGGGAGGCCCCGCCTGAGCGAGGAGGGTATCGGAATACCATACTATTTACATGGTTTCGTGCCCCTCCCACCCCTCCAGGGAGGCCCGCCTGAGCGAGGAGGGTATCGAAATACCATACTATTTACATGGTTTCGTGCCCCTCCCACCCCTCCAGGGAGGCCCCGCCTGAGCGAGGAGGGTATCGGAATACCATACTATTTACATGGTTTCGTGCCTCTCCCACCCCTCCAGGGAGGCCCCGCCTGAGCGAGGAGGGTATCGGAAAACCATACTATTTACATGGTTTCGTGCCCCTCCCACCCCTCCAGGGAGGCCCAGCCTGAGCGAGGAGGGTATCCGCAAACCATACTATTTACATGGTTTCGTGCCCCTCCCACCCCTCCAGGGAGGCCCCGCCTGAGCGAGGAGGGTTGTTTTTGTTTTTCTCTCTGTCTCTCTCTCTCTCTCTCTCTCTTTCTCTATCTCTCTCTCTCTCTCTCTCTGGGTTTCCCCGATCCCAGTGTTCACAGGAGTGGTAAGCAGTGGCGCAACACAACACGAATCATCAGGGGGAGAGCGCCGTGCGTTCGGGCGTACGGGCAATGCCCGTGTGGCAGCGAGCCGTGGGTGCCACCGTCGCACGATGGCAGCAGACAGAGGCTTCCGCGCTGGGTCTAGGCAGAACGTACATCTGTTCACCGGGCCTGGCCAGGGGAGGAGGAGGCGGAGGAGGACGGGAGGAGGAAGGGAGGAGGAAGGGAGTGATGCGAGGAGGAGGGATGCGAGGAGGAGGAGGAGGAGGAGGAGGAGGAGGAGGAAGAGGAGGAGGAGGAGGGATGCGAGGGATGGCGTATGGACCCTCCTGGCCTCGGCAGAGGGCGCAGACGCACGACGGGGCCACCTGGCCAGCCAGCCCTCCGCGCAGAAGGACCCCCCACCCTGCATTGCCGCGCCCCCGGATCGGGGAGGCCGTCTGGGGCGTCCCCAGTCCGCTCTGAGCCTCTGGGGACCCGCGCAGAGGCCTTCGGAGTTGGCCTCCGCAGTGCTTCCCCCCTTTCCTGCTACCTCAGTGGGACTCATGTGAGCTTCTTACTGGAGATCTGTTCTCCTCTCTCCCTTCTTCCTCCTCCCTACTCCCTGCTCCCTCCTCCCTCGCCACTCCTCTCCCTCCTTCACCTCCGCCGCTTCCGCCTTCGTGTCCTCCGTCTCCTCCTTGTTCTGCCCATCCTCCTGGAGGCGACAACGCCGAGGCTCAGAACATGCAGAGAATTCCTGCATTACCGTGGATTTCGCTAAAGCTACCCCCAACCGATGACCTAAAGCCACGTTGGGTGGGACAAATGAGGACGGGTGTAGGGTCGGGTGGGAGGAGGAGGTAGAGGGTTCTCTCGAGAGGATCGGGCGAGGAGGGACGAAGGAGGATGAGGAGGAGGGAGGACGCGAAGGAGAGAAGACAGTGGGGGGGACAAGCAAAAGGGAAACAGTGGCCCGTGAATTGGCAAGTCAGGGGAGCCTCTCCCAAGCTCCATTCCTCAAGCTTCCCCCTCCCTTCTATTCAATCTCCTCCTCCTCCTCCACCCGTTGTCCCCCTTCTTCCTCCTCCCACTCCCTCCTGCCCCGTCCTCCTGCTCTTTCTCCTCCTCCATATCCTTTTCCTTCTAAACGACTTCTCCCTGTCGCACCCCGAGGCCAGTTGTTAGGGCGGGTCGGGCGTTTCGCTTGAGACTCCCTCACCGTTTATGACCCTGAAGCTGAAACGTTGACAACATATTCACATATTGAGTGAGGAGTGGTTTTCAACATGTGGCTCTCGCCGCAAAGCCGCGCACATCCGTTTTAAACAATTGCAAGGGCTTCACGGATTGAGGGCGAGTCGTTTTCAATTTGTGGCTCTCGCCTTAGCGCAGCGCACATTCGTTGTAGAAGTTTGCAAGAGTTTCACTGATTGAGGGCGGTTCCTTTTCAACATGGGGCTCTCGCCTTAGCGCCGCGCACATTCGTTTGTAGTATTTGCAAGAGTTGGATTCCCATTATCAACGTGCCAGAAATCGCGTTATTGAGCGATTCAAGATTAAGAGGGGGCAGCAATTACGTTGATTCGCGGTGCTGAAGTCCCAGGAATGGCTGTCTGGCACAATCCAGTATCGTCAAGACGCAACAATCAGGTTGATCCGTGGCGTTGGAATCCCGAGAGCAATGTTTTTGGCATGCTTCAGGGTCTTCAAACTGTTGACTTCCAACGGGGCAGTTCCCTCAGTGGACATGAACCGTTGTAGGGGCCTGTGAAGAGGGAGCCTGCAGGGAGGTTTTTTTCCAACATCGTTGATGACTCTTGGGTTTACACTGGTCCTCCTCTTCCTCCTCCTCCTCCTTCTCCTCCTCCCCTCAACCTACCAGTACTCGCCCCTCTTCCCAGCCTCCCAGCCCCCTCCTCCTCCAGCTTCCCCCCTTTCCCCTCCCCGGTGCCCCCTCCCCCCTCCCCCTCCCGAGCTCCAACCCCTCCCTCCACCCCCTTGCACCCCCCTAAGCGGAGCCGCCGAGGGGTATTTCACGGTCCCGTTCGCGGCTGCTTTGTGGGGATGCCTCAAGCGGTTTTCTGCTCCAGAATCCTTCGCTTTCGGAGCAGACTTGGAGGATGTCTCGAGCGAGGCGCTCGTCTTCACCCCCCTAAGGGGAGCCGCCGAGGAGTATTTCACGGTCCCCCCCCCTCCTGGCCGCCCTCCTCCCGGCGGGCGCGGGGCGGGCGCGCGCCGCAGCGCCCACCGCCCCCCTCTTGCGCCTGGGTCGCCCCGCGCGGGCTGCCCCCACGCCAGCGGGCACGGCCCGCCGGCTCGTCTCGTGGAGGAGGAGGAGGAGGAGGAGGAGGAGGAGGAGGAGGAGGAGGGATGCGAGGAGGAGGAGGAGGAGGAGGAGGAGGAGGAGGAGGAGAAAGAGGAGGAGAAGAGGAGGGGAAAAAAACAAAAAGGGGGGGAGGAGCTGAGGAGGAGAGGAGGAGGAGGAGGAGAGGAGGAGGATGAGGAGGGGAGGAAAGGAGGAGGAGGATGAGAATCTCACCAACCAAATCGTAAGACGGTCCCTCGCCCCCCCCGCGCTGTCATCATCGCGTCGTAGCTGCGTCGCAATAGGGGAAAAACAGTGACATAACATAACAACTCGATGTCCGCGCGGATTTCTCGGATTCGGCGTCTGGGCCCCAGGCGGCGCCTCCGGCGCCGCCCCTTGGCGCGCTCCGCGCGCCAGGGAGGGGGCCCCAGCGCCGATCCGAGAAATCCGCGCGGACCTCCGAATTTTTATGTTTATGTCATTTTTTGTTCCCCTCAGAAATACTGCCCTGCAGTGAAGACCCATGCCAAGAGACACCCTGCTTGCCTCCAGGGTGCCCTGGGTTTCTGCGGTGCCGATGGTTTTGCTATGGAAAGTGCGGCGTTCCAACACCAAAAGCCAATGGACGTTTTTGGGGTCTCGGGGTTGGGTCTCTTGTGGAAGGTTTCTTGCGGTCGAGTCCCTGCCAGCAGCAGAGCGCGGCCATGTGGCCATGTAGCCGTGAGGCGAGATCACGATTTTCGATAAACGTGGGAGGGAGAAAGTCTCAGGCGGAAC